GCGCACACTCACTGCTGCGAGACGCCGAGGAAAGGCCTGACCTCCTGAGACTCAGCTTTTCTCAAGTGCAAAATGAAGGCAACAGCACTGTTTACTCTATCTGAACTCATAGGAAGAGTAAATGAGCAAAAGTCTAGAAAGCACTTTTTCTACCACATCTGGTAGAGTTAAACATTCATTGTAGGTCTTCTTGTTTTACCTCAGGCAAAATAAACTTCCTGTCACCCCTAATAACTATGCTGACCGTGGTTCCCACGTGCCTGGGACAGCCCGCTTTCCAGGACCGCTCTGTCCCAAAAAGCGCATCTCCTTTTACTCTGAGAAGTGTCCCTGTTTGAACAATAAATTACATGCCCCCACCGTAAACAATGCCCATGCGTTATTTTCCTGACTCTACACTTTCTTCCTGCTGTTTTCTCTAATTCTGTTATTTCCAACTCTCCTGTCTTCCTTCTGGAACTTTTCCATTCTTTACAGCCTACCTTTCAGAACCACTAGTTTTTTCCAAGCAGAATGGGCATTATTAGGTCCACTATACATATGTGAAAATGGAGGCAGAAAGAGAAAGACTAAATTCAGAAATTACAGAGAGGAGAAATCCTGAACATAAACAGCTCAAAAGGAACACATAAACAGCCACTCCAAGCTGAGAACTCTGGTCTTCTGACTCCGAAGTTCAGGTTATTTCTTCATATTCCCCTGAAGGAAAGAGAGAGAATTTGTGCATTTCTATTATCTACAGTATAGTTTTACAGATTCATATCATAAAGATCACATATGATCTAGGTAAGTGTGAGTACCTGTCTGCAACAGGAGGTAGCTTCTGGTAAGGAAGGGAAAGAGGAAAAAGAATGTTTTAGTCAGAAATCTTTCCTGTGCCTTTTGATAAAGGACTGTGGGAAATATGGGCAGATAACACTTTGCATTACTGTTTTCAAAACCTGTTAAATTAAAATGTCTATGTAAAAAAAAAAAATCTTAAACAACATATGAGGTAAGCAAATAACACGTTATTCCTTAGGAAAGAGTGGAGGCTGACAGGAGCACAATGAGTCACCCGAGGACTCCAATGTGGTGACTGAGCTGGAGCCAGAATTCAGGTCTTCTGAGTCCTTTTCCCGGATTCTTTCTGCCACACCCATCTGCCTCTGAGCTTTGCTAGCAAAAGATGATCATCTCATCAGTTGAACATGGTCTTTAAGTGGTATGACCACATAATTTACTATCCAAACCAGGATACCTGAGAGGGAGAGGGGCTACAGTTTTAATAACTAGATGGGGGCAACAGAAGTAACCTGGGAATAGCTCAGCTGAACTGGGATGTATGGTCACCTTGTGCCCTACCTTTATATATTACAGGGCACAATCTTGATTTTCACATTAGACAGCATGAATCATTTAAACTTTTGTGTTCTATTTGCCCCTTTCCAATCCACAGAGGAGATCTGTCTAGTTGGATTAAATAACTCATCTGAATTCATTTAAATATTTTAGCTTGTGTTGTTCATGCACAAAAACTGGAGAAAACTTATTCCTTCACCATCTACACACACACCTTGGACAGACTGAAGCCATCAAGTTTCTGAAGGTTGTGCAAGCCGGGTCACCTGATGGGTATACCCCAAATCCTGCATGTCCAGGATTGGTCCCTCCTTTTCCTTTCCTCTAATCTCTCTCCACATGGCAGCCTGAGTGATCTTCCCAAACACTAACCGGCCACATAGTATTCCTGCTTCCAAAGCCTAGTTAAGCTTCCCTTCCCATTTTCCCTGCACAGGGGCACTTACATGCCCACTGCCAAGGAAGCGGTGATGAGGCAACCAGGGGTGAGGTGGGGTGGCGGGCGGCTGCTGACATAACATAGTGATTTGACTCTTCTATTAATTGAAGTCAACACGAAGGCAGGGACCATTGCACCTTCAGTGCCTGGCCAGACACAGAGAAGCTCAGGAATTTGTTACTAAAAGAATAAATGAATAAATGGATGTCAGTAATTTACAGTTACATGCATCAAGGAACAAACTGCTCTGGGCAGGTCACAAGCACAATTTTTTAAATAATGACCATTAATTTCTGGATGCAGTTTTAGGATCAATGGATCCTACCTTTAATGGAAAACTTTTTCAACCAATTACCGTGATGGCCTGAACTTTTGTTTTAAGAAAACGAAGGACAATTCATAAAATTTCCAAAGTATAATGCTATGTGGGTCTTATTTGGGGCGAAATGGTTAAAATTCAATCAAACTTAACATAAAAATGGAAGGAAATTCAGAGTACCTGCACTGTCTTCTCTGTAGCTCTGCTGGGCCATGCGGTCCTGACCTAATAGATTCCCCACCCTTGGCCCGCCATGCTCAGGACTGGAACGGGGAGCTCTATCCTAGGCCAAGGAAGCCAGAGCTGTTCTGGTTTTGGGGGCAAGGGGAAAGGAAACCAGGGAGCTTTCTAGACTTGAGGTGATTTGCAAGCATCACTGATGGGGTAGCTTTTGTCAGATTGCTTCTATTAATAGGTGTACATTCCTGAGTGTAAAGAAAAAACAGGGTGTAAAAATTAATATGTTGGAGTCAAAGTTGTGTTCTCAGCCTTAAGTGAAAAGTAAAAAATTCCTAAGGGGGAAAAATAATTTACTTACAAAATTCTACCTAACAACTGGGCTAAAGGTACAGCTGAACTAAGCCTACCACTAGGCACATAGATTGTTCTGGGACATTGTGATTCCTTAGGAGAACTAGCAACATTAATTTAGGGCTAGTAGATGAACTCTTTATTTCTTTGTCAAGTCCTTGGTCAAAGCCCTTTTATAGTGTGTATATGTGCATGAGTGCATGTGTATAGATTTGTGTGCAAGTCTGGAGGAGACTCAGCCACATTCAAATGAAATACCTCTCCCATCGTTTGCCCTCCTCTCCCAGGAAAAAGTCCACATTACCTGTGGAAGAAAAGAGGCTTAGTCCTTGGAAAGATCAATTCTTCCCCCACCAAGTCTTAAAAAGTGGCCTTGCAGTTTAAAGAGAAGAAAAGTAGGCCTCAGGACTTGAGCTGCCTTTCTTTATCTGCATCCCCAAATTACCATAGCGATCCTTATGAAAAGCTCCCTCCTTCCTGGCTGTGGAACAATGTGAAGACTGACAGCACACTGTGAGTTCCAGTTTAGCTTCTGCCATTGCTTGGTTGTGTAACTCTAGCCAGGGGAGTGTTCTCATGGTTAAAAGGATCATATCTCAAAATCCTAGCCACTGTGTAAGACAGTTTCACTCGTCTTTGCATCATGTAAAAGATCAAAGCTTACAGAGACTTAGTGGCTTTCCCAAAATCACAGAGTTGTAGGAGAGGCAACCAGGAATTAAATCTGGTCCTCTGAATTCCATACCCCTTCTCCGGGCATAGTACGCTTTTGCTTTAACATCCTTGGGAAATCATCACCAAAGACAGGGGTAGTGCCCTATGAAAGACAAGTTTCCCAAGAGAACCGAAAAGAAAAAAGAAAAAAATTCACTATAGAAAATCACTTATACCTAGGATTTTTATCCTCTCTACTACTTATGTAGCTACTGTTTGATACATTATGTTATTATAATGCTGAATACTAGGGTCAAGATCTTATGTTTTTCTGGGTAGTTTTAAGAATAAAGATAAAAAGCTTATAGATACTGAAGTGATTAGAGCATGTTATAGAAGAAATACAAAGACTTAATTCTCAGTCTCTTTCTAGATATTTTATCTTCACAATTTATAGTGACCTACAAAATACTCAACATAAATAACAGACTTGAAACATTCATGTGAAAGTGATAATGTTTTAAGGATAGCCACAACTGTGCCTCACAGCATTATTAACTTGAATAGAGCAGAGCAAATTCTCTCCAGAAGATGCTAATGATTTTTTTAAAGCACAAAACTAGGTCCTTAAATATCTTAGCCATGGATGCTGAAAAAATTGAATTTATGTCTAGTTTAATTCAACAATGGAAAAGTCAGCAATTAAAGTGCAGATAAACTTGCCTTTGTCCCTCTTTTCCTGAGAAACTTTCAAATGTTGAAAATCAATTCCTTTTGTCCTCTTGATATTCATCTGCTACACATTAAATAGAAATTCTGGGCATAGAGTGATTCCCACAGGGTCTTTCATCTACAGAAAAGCCTGGTACAAATTAAATTCTTACTCTCCCTCACAAATTACAGATATGTATTATAGTAGACCATTGATTTATCAGTTCATGGTTTTGCTAGTTCAGCTAATTGTAGTCCTTTATGTACAGTTACTTTGGGGTTGGGGATGGTGGTGCTGTATCAATGTGGAGCAGTACCACATGCTCTGACTTACAGACTATTTTAGGAAGCATTCTCTTAGATATTGTGTTTTAGTTACTTCCCAGATCTTTGAGCCATTTAGGCTATGACTGTGTATATATTTTAATATACTGGAACAATGCAAAATACTATTGCCTCTGGCAGTTATGTTATATAATGAAATGATCATTATAACTATATAGTTATTTCAAATTATGTGGAAAAACAGACTGTGCAGAAAATCTCTTAGAAATGTTTAATTGATGTAAACATTATTTTAGCATTGGATTTAAGGACCAACAGTTAAGGAAATGACCTTGATGCCACGCATGCCATGTGTTATTGGAGAACACAGTTTATACACAGTATCTCTATCAAATCCTTTGTATTAGGAGGAAACCCCATACATATGCTAATACACACAGCTGAGTTTTTGGTGCTAAAAAGTTATAAGAATTTTGCCTTAATCTGTTACCCCTTAAATATATTAAAAACTTTCTTGACAGAGTTGTTCTTTCAGGTCTTTCATAAAGACAAAATTTGATCACCTCTTCTTGATCAATTCCACAAGTGCCAGAACTCCCCAAAGTATTCTAACTTTTCTCCAAAGATTTGTCTGTCTAAGTTATCTCCTGGATCACAAAACGGCCACTCTAATTCATGGAAACTATCTTCTTCCCTTGGAAGCTCTCACGCGCGCCTCACCTCACTGGAGTCCTCCTGTTGATTGATGACTGCGAGCGCGTCCTCCGCCGCCTGCCGCTTGGCCTCGGCAACAGTGCGCTCCATCTTGGCCCGCTCCGTCGTGATCATGTCATGGGCTTTCCGCTCGGCTTCGGACACTGCCTTTTGCAGCTCAGTCATCGCCTGGCGCTTCACCTCGTTAACAGCCTCCTCTGCATGCCAGGCGCACCAAACCAGACAAGAGAACAGTTATGTTAGCCCAAGACCTTGGACACTGACCACTGTCCAATAACATTCTACAGAACAGGAATGGATGTCATCCCAGTTACTAGGCATTTCTCTGGCTACTTAAAAGACCAGCAGATTTCTGAAATTCATTTGGGAAAACAAAGAGCGACACTTTAACTTGCACTTCGGGGAATATTTTTTAAACTCCGAATACCATTACTGCAACTTTGCAACCACAAATATTACCTCCAGAAAAGTACAGTGGGACCAAGCTAAGTATTTAAAGGACAAAAACAAACACAAGAAACCGGTCTGAATAATTCACACGCATAAAGAAAGTGGTCTGCCACCATGCTATAGGTCAGTGATTTTCAACCAGCGTGTCAACAGCAGGCACGCTGTGTGCTGCAAGAATTCTTAAAACATGCAATACCTGACCACGTAGTCCTCTTTCCCCTTAGACTGTCAAATTTAAAAAATTACAACAACCAAACACAACAATAGCTATTCGGTGTGAATGAATCAAAACTATACCTCTTTTTTTTTTTTTGTCAGATAGGCAAAACATATATTTTTTGGTGTGCTGCATAATTTTAGTAATTAGTTTATGTGTGCCATGAGATGAAAAAGGTTGAAAATCACTGCTATAGGTTAATATGAACATAGAAAATACAGGGGTAAAGTTTTCAGACAAAAAAGAGAAAATTCATTTTACACATAAACATAAGTAAGTGCAAACAGTTATTTTAGTGGTAAAAAATAAAGCACAATAGTGAAAAGGTAATTCATATAGCAATTAAGTTAATGCAGACCTTTTAAAGAAAATCGATGATGAAACAGACAGATGATTCAGCTTTTCTTTTTCTTAAATCATTTCCTGAGTAATGTGGATATGTGCCTTTATAGAGATTTTTTAAAAATCATTTTCTCATTTCCAAATTTTCAGCTATTGTCTATCCACTTAATCAAATACGTGCACGGTTTCACATAACCAACTGTTGCACTGGACAAATATGACTGAATCAGACCAAAGGCCAAAACAGTCAGGCCTGACCACAAAACCTGTAAGGTGTCAAGCCAGCTTTTTATTTTTGGCTGTGTAAAGTGTGCGAAGATTTGAGTAATGTACAACATAAGATTGACAACTAAAACAAGTAATTTCTATTAAAAAAATTAACTGTCCTAATTAACAAGGGAAAATATCCTCCCCCTGAATTAGTTTATCTAATTTTCATCTTTATTCAAAGCAAAATGACAATGATTAATTGAAAATTTAATAAGCAGTAATTATTAACTTGGCAAACCTAGTACCAATTAACACTCTATTAAAACTAATTATGACATGTTTCAAGTGCTTGCACTTAATTGTTTCACCCACTTAAAAAGCACCTTAATTAAATGTTCTGTTTAATTAAAAACATCGATTCCTAATAAAAATGTTTTACTGTAGATTAAAAATGTAAGAGATGCAAATACTTTTATGGTTTCTTAAATCTTTATGGTTTATTTCACACATCTACCATCCATGACTTAAGAATCATCAAAAGCCGTCCACTCACAATTAACTGTCATTACTTTTGTAGCCTTCATCATTTTAGCAGTATTATTCCTTCAATTCATTCATCCGCAATTACTGTCTGATAGGTTTTATAAACTAACATATAAGGAAAGAGCCAGACTAGAAATATTAACTAAAAGATCTCTAGCCTTTACTAGTTGCTTTAAGACACACATGTAAACTCTGAACAGAAGCAGTGTATTGCACAGGGCTTGCGGCACCTTCTTCACCAACAGGCGAAAGGTGCCTTTATTACCCTATCATAACCGGCTTGGGGCACCAGGGAAGCACTGCCCTTCTAACTATACAGCCAGGGTCTCATTTAGTTTGAATATTCAAAGTGAATTAAAATTCTATCTAAGTGGTAATACAGGACAATAATTTTTGCTTACCATCAAAGCTGTAGCTTGACTAATTGTATATGCAAATCAGGCAATTTATATTTAAATTATGCATTCCTATTCTAATCCCACAGGCATATACAGATCAGCAAAGAGAATTGGTAGGACATTTGCAAGGTGCTTGAATATTTATTACCAACTGCAAACATTCACTGATTAGTTGAAAAAGAAATATACTGAAGAAAACAGTTGCAATTTAAAACCCATCTTTATGTTAGATGTTTTTTCAAATAAAGACCTTTTGTATCTTCAGAGTGTTTTTTGTTACCTTTGCTGTTGCTTTTAAAAATACTACTTTGAGGGGAAAAATGAGGAATCCTTCAAAATTGTTAAGATTCCGAATACACTTTAAAATGTATGATATATTATTATATAGTAGTATTGGAGCAACATAAAAGTGTGAATACAGCCTGTAAGTAATAGTGACACAGTGATGTTCCTGTCCTCATTTTGGTAACTGTGTTGAGGCTACATAAGAGAATGTCCTTGTTCTTAGGAAATACACACTAAAATGCTTGGGGGGAAGGGGTAGAGGGAGATCACATCTGCAACTTACTGTCAAATGTTTTGGGAAAAAACTATAGTGCATCACAGAAAAAGAAAGGAGAGAGGAAAGAGAGAGAAAAAAGATATTAAAGTAAATACAATAAAATAGAGAAAACTGGGTGAAAGGTATAGGGTAATTTTTTATACTTTCTTTGAACTTTCTGCAAGTTTAATATCATTTCTAAATAAAATGGTGGAAAATATTCTATGATGTGCTTTTAAGCACCGGATATGCTGTTTGCAATTATAATTTTCTGTGGGAAGGGATGCCTAATTTATATTACACTGACTTTTGAGAGCTCTACCCTTTATATTTTTCAAATGCTTTAAGCTGTATTTACTTCTCATTTGCCACAAAGATATAATATTATAATGTATAATATTTTATTGCAAAGACACACTTTAAAGGTTTTTTTCTTAAAAAAAATCTGCCCATTGCAAATTTTAGAATCTTGGAGAAAGCTTTCCAACTGTGGTTAGTGGAGCGCAGATGCCACGCTCTGCCCTGGGTGTTCCCGTCGTGTTGGGCGCCTGGCACTGCTAACACTAGGAATGCTTTCTAAGAAGCCTAGAAAGATGAATAGTATAAGCAGTTATTTGAGATTTCAAGACAAAACTGTCATCCATACTTTGGGCATTTAATACATTCCTTAAAATTTAGCATCCATCCTTAGTAAACTATTCCCAAACTGTTCTTACGCAGGTGGGGAACACGGCTGTGAGAAGAAAACAAATGTAATCCACACCACAATCAAGGCATATTTTAGACTGAAGATCTAATATATGCAATAGGCACATCTAAAAAATATCCCAAGCATTTACTTGATAAAATTTAACTCTTAGAGGATGCACGAACACAGGGGAAACCAGTACGTTTCTTCTTCTACCTGAAGTCTTCGCAACATAAAGTACACCCAGAATTGGTTACAGAAACCCACAAAACAGACAGTAAAGAAAAGTAATAATGGACTCAGTAGGTTACAACATGTCTACCAAAAACAACAACAACAACAACAACAACAACTGATTAAGTGGACAATTCATTGTGCAGTTTTTCTTTTTTTAAAATAACCACTTATTGTTATATAATTAACAAACTATGCGACTCACTCAAAGTTCCTGATTCAATAATTTCAGTATATTCAGAGTTGTGCTACTGTCACCACTATCAATTTTTAGAAATACATATAGTGCAGTTTTGAATCTGCTTCCAATTGCTTACCACTTATGGTGGGACTTCCTTTGTGCATAGCTCTTCAGGTTGACTCTCCAACAAAGGTAGTATAGTCAGAAAAATCTGCCCTCACTTAACAGCAGTCAAACAAAGAAGTGAGCAGATAATAGCACAGAAGGAATTTGGATTACACAAGACTTTACTGCCAATTTTTCTTTATGAACTATCAAAGATTTAACTTGAATGCACACCCATATAAAAAAGGGAAATGCAAAGACTCCTTCAGCATAAAAAGTCATCCTTCAGCCATACAAAACAGGAATTCTTTGTACCTCTTATTGGAATCAGTCGCACTAACAGCTTAAAAATGCAGGAGGAAAAAAGGTCAGAAGAAAGGTGTAGCAATTCTTTTTTCCAGGTAGGTGGCATCCAGCACATTTTGACAATTTAGGAGTATCCCATTGCTGTTAGCTACATAGATAATCTTAGAGGTGATGTAAATCTCATAAAACTATGCAGCTGAGCAACATACATATTTAACCTTCAGCCTTTAAGCTGAATGGATCTAGCTGATTTGCATATTAGACATGCAAAACAGCATTCTGGTTCTCAATCTAAGTTACTAAGCCTAGCATACTATCAGATTTTAAAACTCCTTACCACTCTTACAAAAACAGGTATTTCTTAAAAGACCTCTAAAAACACTTGGACAAGAGCCAAGTGACCAGAGTCAGAAAGTTGCAGACAACTATGCACACACCTGAGTCAAATCAAAACTCAGAGAGAAAACTTTTATAAACAACAAGAGCAAACAGCTCTTCCCCTGGACTCTTGCTCTATCATTAGGGTTCCTAGCCCTACACCCATCTGACTGCTTGCAGAACTAACAATTTTCAGTTTCTCAGCTCAGATTGACTATTTTAACAGCTGTAGTTACAGCAGCTCAAAGCCCCACTATGCGTTTGCCCCGTCATCTTTAACTCTTGAAACAGGTTTATGCTTTATCTCTTGAGTTGGTTTTTATAGGGTTTTTGCTCAACTTCTGTAGTGCTGGTGTTCTACCCCGACTGCCAGATCTGAGTTCTTTAAGCCCAGTAAGTCTTTGGGTCATCAGGAACTTTAAATCTACTTCAGAATGTAGAGCAATGTCTCTTAACGAAAAACAAATTGTGTACATGGAAAAGTAAAATAATTAAAGTTTTACCATCTCTGTCATTGAACTTAAAAAAAATATTTAGGTCTGATCACTGAATATTATTAATTACCTTGAAAGATCAATTTTAAAAATTGGTTGTAACCATAAAATTCCTGAGTGTCTTAATAAGTCAGTTTTTATGTGGTTTTACTAAAATTGAAGAATTCAGAGGAAAAGGCTAAAGTATACAATTGAATTTATAAAACACCAGATTATATTTTCACAAAGGAAAACTTGCATGCAATGAAACCATTCTAGTCCCTCAAAAACAGAGGTTTATGATGGAAATATTGCCAGGCTCTCAGTTACGGTAGCACTAGCAGATGCCACTAAAATAAAAAATTATTTCATGTTCTAATCAGGCCTGGTTTAAGAATATTAATCAGGATTTTTACATTTTGTCTTGTTGCGGGGGGTGGGGGCCTGTCTTGTATTGTTTTGTAGTTGTTGTTAGCAGTAAAGTCCTTTCTTGTCATTCTTCACATCACTGCATTTAACAACTGCACACAGCTGCCAGAACACTAAACTCGTGTTTTTAAACAATTCTTACCAGCTTTCTTCCAGATCTCCTCTGGCACGTATCCAGAAGCAGGCCTGTGAAGGAATTCCCGATGTGCATCTATAAAAAGGATGAAAAGCAGTGGAGAGGAGGAAACCATATAAGCACTGTTATGTCATTACATCGAGTAGAAGTAAGCTATGCCCATTCTTTTGGCTTCTTTACAAAAACACAATTTTAAAAGGCTAAGCATTTCACTTCTAGAAAACAAACAAAAATAGCAAGACCAGTCATCAGAGCTCAAGAAAAATAGGTCACTGGTCTCAATGCCTTGTATGTTCAAAGCTGAAGCACTTTTAATGATTTCATTATACAATATGTTTGAGAACACTGTTCCTAGTGTGGATCACTACGGGAATTTCTATGGGTATTTTATCGAAAGTAAATAAATTATATTAGTAATTTTGCTTTCAAGAGTCAAGGTGGTAATTTTAAAAAAATCTAATGTTAGGATAATAATATTTTCACACAGCTCTGACTCTACCACCTTTGATTAAAGGGTGAGCCTTACTGTGTGGCTAACAAGTTCTCACAATTTAATTAATTCTTAAAATTATAGTTTAGCTTTTAAAATCTTCACACAAATTAGATTATATGAATTTGACATGGGTGAAAGCAAGAGAGAATCATTAGAATGGATTCCCATATTCAGCTGATTACAAATAGAGTTAGTACATGCTTTACAAAAGAGAAAATGAAGGTCCACTTTAAATACTGTGCTTATTACGCTTGTCAAATTTTAAAAATTTGAGAAAACAGATAAAACAATAATAAATTTGAGGTAGGAATGCTAATTTCAGAATAACATGTTCATGGTAGTGACATGGAAACTTTGATATATTTTTATATATGCATGAAAATAAAACTTCAGGTGTATAGTCTTCCATAGCTAAAATATCCACTATGTGTCTTCCATACTGGATTTTCAATGAAAGCATATGTAATTACACATTTTGAGGAAGAAAAAAAATCATTTTAACTTTAAGTAACGTAACAATTCAATTCTTGGTAAGTTTCAAGTATCTAAAATTTTCTCTACATGTATATGTGAAGTGGCAGACCAATTTTTTTTAAACAACGTTTTATCTAATGGTATGCTGAAGGACAAAACAAAGTCCATCCAGTTTTCTATCTTTTGCAAAGCTACAGAACATCCAAAATAGAAAAGAAAAACAATCAACTTAGCTACTTATAGCTTTTTATATTTGAATGCTTTAAGTACATTTGAATGTTTTGAATCCAGTAGGGTACCTAGATTATCATTTTACCAACACACAAGAGATGCTCAATTATTTTGAATTAGAAAAGACTTATTATAATTTGGTGAAGGGTATATGAAAACTCAGCACTATCTTTGCAATGTTTCTTTAACTCTCAAATTATTCTAAATATAAAGAATTTATTTTTACAAGTTTACATTACAATTTTATTACTACTTGGTAACTGGATAGCCTGGAAATATGGATGCATTCTCTGTGACCTTTCATTTCTATAAAGTGACAAAAACCAAAAGTTTTTTAAGTAATTTTCATTTAAAAATAAAGAAACCTAGATAGAACAGTTGGGTGCAAATATGACTACAAGAAAATGTGATATAGCTAATTAGAGTTGTCAAAATTACTTTGCACACCACTACAAAGGTTTTCCAGAAGAAATGTTGTGCAGTAAGTTCACATTGAGCCATATGATACAATGAAACATTTTTACTTATGACAACTTTTAAAGACAATTTTTTAGAAAAAAGACTTTGGTTTAAGTATCATTTATTCTTAAAGGAGGCAAGAACATACAATGGGGTAAAGACAGTGTATTCAAGAAATGGTGTTGGGAAAATTGGACGGATACATGCAAAATAATAAAACTAGACCCCTTCGTTACACTATATATGAGAATAAGCTCAAAATGGATTAAAGATTTAAGTGAAAGACTCGAAACCATAATACTTCCAGAAGAAAGCACAGGCACTCAAATCTCTCCCATTTTCTTAGCAATGTTTTTTCTGATATGTGTTCTTGGGTAAGGAAAACAAATAAGCAAACAAACAAACAAACAAAAACCAAATGGACAACATCAAATTAAAAAGGTTATGTACAGCAAGAGAAACCACCAACAAAACAAAAAGACAACCTACTGAATGGAAGAAGAAATTAACCAATGATACATCCAATAACATGTTAATAGCTAAAATTCCTTTTTCAAAAATCATACAGCTCAACACCAAAAACACAAAATAGTACAATTAAAAAATGGGCTAAGGACCCGAATAGACCCTTCTCCAAAGAAGATATAGAGATGGCCAACAGACTATGAAAAGATGCTCAACATCACTAATCATCAGAGAAATGCAAATTAAAACCACAATAAGATATCACCTCACACCTGTTAGAAAGGCTATCATGAATATGTCAACAAACAGCAAGTGCTGGCGAGGAGGGGGAGAAAAGGGAACCCTTGTGCACTGTTGGTGGGAACACAGACCAGTGTAGCCACTGTGGAAAACGGTATGGAGTTTCCTCAAAAACTTAAAAATAGAACTGCCATGAATCAGCAATTGCACTTTTCTGGATATATATCCAAAAAAACTCAAGACACTATTTTGAAAGGATATATGTACCCCTATGTTCACTGCAGCATTATTTACAATAGCCAAGATATGGAAGCTACCCCAGTGCCTGTCAGTGGAAGAGTGGATAAAAAAAGCTGTGATACATACAGGGGTGGGCAAAAGTGGGTTTATAGTTGTGAGTACACAAAACTCAGAGTTTATTCTTGCATAATTATTTATTAATTTGTATTTTTTCAAATGAACAACTGCAAGCCCACTTTTGCCCACTCCTGTATGTACAATAGACTACTACTCGGCCGTAAAAAAGAATTAAACCTTACCATCTGCAACGGCATGGATGGACCTAGAGGGTATTATGCTGAGGGAAATAAGTCAGAGAAAGAAAGGCAAATACCACACGATTTCAATTTGAATGTAGAATCTAAAGAGAAAAATAAACAAACAAAAGAGAAACAGACTCAACAGATACAGAGATCAGACTGATGGTTGTCAGAGGGGAGGGCCATTGGAGGGCTGGGTAAAAAAGGTGAAGGGATTAAGAAGTACAAATTGGTAGTCACACAACAGTCACAGGGCTGTAAAGTACAGCTTATGGAATATAGTCAATCATAGTGTAATAGCCATGTACAATGCCAGGTGGCACATGTACAGGTGGGGGGATCATTTTGTAAAGTATATGACTGTCTAACCACTATGCTGTGTACCTCAAACTAATACAAAATAATACTGAATGCCAACTGTAACTTAAAAATAAATAAAAATCACACACATACATACACACACAGAGAAATGTCTGAAGATAAACAAACAAAAAAAAAATGCCTTCACCAAGTTTGCAAAAAAGTTTTTTTCACTTATTATAGAAATATCAGTAGGTCCATAAAATTATTTTTTTTAATAAATGCCCAATCATTTTATAGAGAACAGAAAAGGTGATGTTAGGGTATCCAATGTCAATGCATAAAAGATACCAATTATCAGTCACTGGCAGTGCAGACAGAAGAGTTAGTTTTAGAGCCCACAGAAACTGAATCTTGGCTCTTGACTTTTACTAGCCATGTGCCATTGGGCAATACACTGGAAAGCACTGCTGTGAGAATTGAATGAAGTACTTCCTATTATATGCTTGGCATGGTACATCCTAAACTCTCATTAGACATTAGTTGCTACTACCTTCATTATTATTTAGGAGGTTGTCCAGTAACAATAGATACATACTTATTTTCTTATAAATAACTAAGGTGAAAAAAAGACCTTAAACTTTCTCTTTTTCTCCTAGCACCGAAATCCACAAATAGCACAACGCTTTAAAGAAAACAAAACCATTGGAGAGGTTTCCATTAAACAATACATACCAGTAATTTTTTATTCCCTGAATTTATGTCACTTAAGGATAGGTGTTATTTCTAGAGTTAGCAATTCACTATCTTAGTCCCCTTGTCAGAAAGTCTTCAAATTTCTTAGATATTTTTATAAATTTTATTCTAACCTTACCAATGTTTATGGCCCTCAATTTACTCAAACACAATGTATACAGCTCAATCATCTGCCCATCTTCCCATATGCTATATAGTAAACACCTTTAGGATCCATACACCACATGCTAGAAAGTTGTGCTGCATTTCACGTACCTAACCTAAAAACCTGATAGAAATACCAAAGCCCATCAAGCAAAAATTTTCTTAATCCTCTACTACTTTGTAAAATAATCATTTTTCAAAACAGCAGCAGAATCTGAAGGCAAATAAATAAAATATACATACATTTTCATACACACACACACACACACACACACATATACACACACACACACACACACACATACATATTTTACAATGTCCTCTTCAGTTCTAAGTTCGTGTGTCCTACCCATGGAAAGAACAATCAATAACAGATATACTCCTCAGAATCTATTTTGATACAATGATGAATACAATCATAGCTATACAAACCAAGTGAGTAATAAATTTAATATTTCTCTTCTGATTGTCAGCAATGACAGAGTCTATTTAGGCATAATTGAGTTTAAAAAATAAACAAAAAATATCCTGCAGTTGATCAATATTACAAGAGAACTTTTCTTGTATGAGGGTAGGACTTTGTTATTTTAGAATACTGGCTAATTTAGACAAACCTATGAAAAAGACTTTATTTTCGAAGGCTCAGATTCTAAAGCTAATTTTTAACCATTAACTCCTGGCTACCTATAAAATATCAGTTGCTATAAAATGGATAATTTAATAAAATGTAGTGGTAGACACAAAGAAGAGCTTACACAAGATGGTTTAAAATGTGAAACATATTTATCTGCATCTACAGAAAGATGGAAAAATTATAGGAAAGTCCTTCTAAATTGTTTAGCTTGCTTTGGGATGCAAATTCTTAGGGGCAAGAGAAGAGGAAAGCCTCCAGAAGATTGCACACATCTATTAAGAGAGGAGAACCAGTCAAGGTGGGGAAAATGTTATAAGAAATGTGAAAGAACAGAAAGCAA